CTGCTGAACAGGGTTTTAATAACTTAGGTGTGAGAAGTGTTATTCAACCTGAAGTAACATCTGCCTAAATTCTCTCTGTAGATGAATTTGAATAAAAAAGAAAAAAAAAAGTTTGTTTCTTAGCCCAGGCTGTTGTGTGGATGAACACCGATCTTTCAAGCAGTCAACACTTTCATCTAAATTCTCAGCTGCCTTGCCTTTCTTCTCCCATCCCTCTTTCAGTTTTCTGACTCCCACTTCTGTACTCCTATTAATAACGTAGTTAGTCCTGCCTGTTCCTCTCTCCCTTTCATCTTCCTGAGTGTAACTCCAAGGAGTGAGCTCCTGGCAGTGTGTTTAGCGCGGGACAAGCCCGGAGGTCGCTCCGTTGTACTGACTGCTAGCGCAGCTGGGCTCTCTTCCAGCATTGCTGCTGCCTCCCAGACGTAGCTGGATTTATTCCTAAATTGATTACAACTGTCATTACTGCTTCTGCCTGCTAGAGGTCCTTTGGCCCTGCCTGGTACGCTGTCTCTGGAGATTTTTAATTTACTGTTCCAAAGTATCAGGATGCGATACTTTAAGCAGTTTGTCACATTCATTTCCAAAGCACTCAAAGGCTGCCAAAAGAACTGAAAAATCCTATTAATTCGAGAATATTTTCATAAAACAGATATTTCTCAATGAAAACCTACAAAAGGACGCCTAGGACTAAAGCTCATAACTAAAAACCATGGACCTGAGAGAGAGATTGGCGTGTTGCACTTTGCCCCATGCCCCGCTGCCTGCTAACCCCCCAGGGCGACTCACGGCTGATAATTACCTGTGTCTATCTCTCTTCCTCAGAGGGAGAAGGAATTATCTCCTCTTCCCTAACTCTCCCATCTGATCCACAGATCCTTTTATTTTTTTCTCCAAAGATCACCCTGCTGGACATAATGCAGGGGGACTTCCCACAGCCACGCATGCACGCACAGTTTCGAATTTGTGATTTCAAAGTTTGTCACGGGAAGGAGGACTTAGCGGTCCAAAGTTTGTCTTCTTTTCCCCAGCTATTAGTGGGTCTAAGAAAAGATATACGATCTTTCCCAGCTCATTTTACCTTGCTTCTCTAGATCACTATGGATAACTTCTCCTTTGCATCGCTCCAGTAATAACACAATCGCAGGCAGAGAGCAGCTAAGAACATCTGAGAACTAAAACTTGTTAAAGCTGGCGAATGCGTTTTTAGTGTGCATGATGTGGTTGTAGAACTATGCTGCCCCAGGTTCAAACCATGAATTTTTACCTTTCTTTAATATTTCTGATCCTTTGTGACTGCCTTTCCTCAACATGTGTGAGAATATGGAGCTCCCTTCTTTCTTTCCTCCCCACAAAACCTGCTCTAAGCATGGTTTTGTACTAACACAGTAATTTTCATTAGACTGATTTTATAATTTATAAATATATGTTGATATGATTGTGCAGCCATCTTTTTGATGCAATTCTATTAATACAATGTCTTTTATAAGCAGTAAAACATAATCTTGTAAATTTGGAGAAATAAAGTAGTATAAGCAGCTTTATTCATGTATAATTGCTTTTAAGCTAGTGGGCTCTACTACTTAACTTTATCTGAATAAGACTGGTATCATCCGAAACAGCATGAAACCCATCTGCAGACAGGCCCTGCAGGAGCAGGGCTACACACTGCTCACTAAGGATCCACAGCTGCAGTGAAGCTTAGCGCCGGGCAAGCAGATTGCTGTGGAGTGCAGTTTAAAAAGGTAACGATATCACCATGTCTTCGTCTGTAGATGTGAGAAGGAATGAACTGTATCTGTGCAGACATGGAATAGGCTGCTCTATTCATTTTAGGATACGGTTAGATGTCTTCATGCTCTTGAATATTAACACATTTTAATGCCTATGAAATCTAATTTATTCATGCTGCATTTATTTTCTGCTGTATTTAGCTAGTGAGGAAACTGATTTCCCTGAAAATTATTCATCTCTGTGTATCACTTGTACAATACCCAGAACAGTATATAGAATATTGTGCAAAATGCACAGCATTTTTCTTACTAGCCTCATTTCCAAAGGTCAGCAGCACTCTTTGACTTTAGGCCAGCAGCACTCTTTGACTTTAAAAGCAGGGAGTAATTTTTAATAATTATTAAGGCTGATTATCAGTTATGGTTGACTATTGATCGTGATCATATTGTGATAATCGTATTGATTATCATGATGAAATATTGATTCTCGGTAGGCAGCTCTGGAGAAGAAAGTCCAGAGAACAGTCATGTGTAAAATGACAAGGTTTTCTTCACGCCACTTCTCAACAGTATACTTCAGCCCTCATTTGAAAGGATCCTAGCTGGCACAGAAGAAAGCCTCCATATGAGCTCAGCTGACAGCCTATCTGCTAAGTCTGGTGACAGTAGCTTTGACAGCTTCCCCAGTTAAGCAGTTCATGACTTGAACTTAAATAGCTGTACGTGGCTGCTGCAAATAGGTTTATTTGTCCCTGATACTCAGGTCTCAGTGAACACAACAGAGAGGATCTGTTGTTCTGAAATTTCCTGGCTGCCAATATGCAGTTTACATTCAATGGCCAGCGTATGCGAATGCATCACCCACTGTTCATTTCTATGAAATATGTGTTCGTATTTGCAAAACGCCACTGAAGTGTTAGGAACCCGTGTAATTCTGGTGGCACTGAGAACGCACTTGCGAAACATCTTTTGCTTTAGCATTTGAACAAAATTTCCAAACAGTTCTCCCTTTACTTAGCATTGATCTACTCAAGATGCGTTTTTCATTTTGAAATACTCAATATTTGATACTTCTTTCATTTTGAAATAAGTAAATGTAAGAGTGTCTGTCATATTATTCTAGCCACAAAGAAATGTGAAGTTCAATTGCATGAAGAGGGATACATTCAGTCTCATATAGCTATTGTGGTACGGCTCCCTCTCCCATTCTCAGTCATTTCTTTCGTCTGTTTAAAATAAAAATCCTGAAATTCATATTGAAGAGCAACTCCCTTAGTAACTCCTTGCCTCCAATGATTGTTACAAACTATTTCCAGCTTCCTTGGTACATTTTTTGTTTTTGCTAGAAGACCAGATTCATGGAATATTCATATTCATCTGACCCGTGCTGCAGACCTCCCACAACAGAGAATCTGCCCAGAATAAGGTCTTCTATGTGAGCCATACCGCCAAAGGAAAGCGAGGGAACGACTGGTTGCGGCAGTGCAGTGACGACTCGTTGACTGAGCCTGGGTGCCGCTGATATACGTCGGCTTGCACAGCAGATCTTGGGGACAACTGTACTTCTCAAGTGCATCAAATCTGGGATGGAAGACAACTTGCCTACTCTGCTCCTGACAAGCGGTCTGCAGGCAACGCTAGGCAGAAGGTCAAGTGTTCCCTGCTTCTATGTGGATATTTCTCTTGAGATTATTTGTTTCTATGCTTAGTTTTCAGTTTACAGAATTTATTTTAGGTAGTGAGAAGATTCTCTTCCCATTATAATGATTTTTGTAAATACACGGTAATGTTATTCTTTCC